GCATCCATTCTGAGGATATATGGCTAGTTTATCGGTATAAAACTTCATATGAAGTCACTATGTAGTCTATTGGTAAAATAGACGCCCATTCTGGGGATATATGACTAGTCTATCTGTATAAAACTTGATAAGAAGTTACCAAATAGACTATGGGTAACATAGACACGCATTCTGAGGATATATGACTAGTCCATTTGTGTAAAACTTTATATGAACTGGCACCCATTCCGAGGATATATGACTATTCCATTTGTGTACAACTTTATATGAAGTCACCACATAGTTTGTTTGGTAAAATAGACATTCATTCCAAGGATATATGGCTAGTCTATCTGTGTACAACTTAACAAGAAGTCACCACGTAGACTACAGGTAAAAATACACTCATCCTGTGGAAGTATGGCTAGTCCATCATTGTAAAACTAACAAGAAGTCATCACGTAGTCTATAGGTAAGTATTATATAGACAACTTATTATTTGTCTGTGCAAGGTAATTAAATGTCATGCTATACGATTTTACATGGTTATTAAGAAGAGAGGATATGACAATGAAATGATTGTTAATTTGATCAACTTCTGTTTACTTTCCCAATCAATCAACACTCTAGTAAATTTTAATTGCACCAAATCTTTCAATGTATTTCTTGTTCAGTCTAAGTTAGGTCGTTAGGGACGCAACTGACCTTAGACTATGTATTTCTTCCTCTGAACACCTCGACCGATTTGGTCATCTTAGATGTACTGTAATCAGGGCAAGGTGTTCCTTCTTCTACTTCTTCTTCTTCTTCTTCTTCTTCTTCAAGGTACAGTCCATACCACTTCAGTGTATTCTCTGACTTTGCGTGATGTGAGCAATTCAACTATTCACAAGTGCATTTAAAATCCATTATATACAGTTAAAAATACAGATCGCCCACCAACGAGCCTTCGTGTGTGTCCCGTCAATCCAAGGACTGTGTCGATACTTGTTACACGTAGATTACGTTATAGAGTAACATCGGGTCACCGGTCCATTACCGTAGCTATAGTGTTCAGAATCTTTACATCACATACATATATGATTCACCTAGCTGTATACATCACTGCTTAAATTGGTTATTAATAAGAGCGGATATGCCATTGAAACGATTGGATAAAGTTCTGTATAATTTTCCAAACTCATTTACTAA